AGAGTATTCCCACTTGCAGCAATAAAAGGGCCTTAAGGTCAATTACATTTCCCTTAAGTTTGTAATTTCGACACCTGCTTGGGATTCCTTAGGAGAGCCCAGCGGCGCTTCGGGGACGCGTGGGAAGGGACAAGCAGAGCCTCAGAAATCAGGTGCAGACCAAGGCTGGGAGGAGCGGGCAGGGCTGCAAGTGCGGGGCTGGCAGCCCGGCCGGTGCAGGGGGCTCTTGTGGGAAAGGAGCAGTGCGGAGGCTGGGAGACCCTTGGGAATACATGAATGCCCAGCGAGGACACATCCGAATTACGGTTTCTCCCTGTGGTGCGGAGGGACCAAAGCTGTGGCTGAGATGCTGAGACCTGCCCAGGTGTTCGCATGTCCCTGCCTCCTCACCAGCCGCTTTCCAACGAGCCCATCTTCTCCTCCATAGGAGATGAGGATTCGACAGAGCAGAGAGGGCTTAGGGGAGAGCTCACCGAACCCACCACCGCTCCTTGCTGCTCGTGGGAGCCAAGCTCCCCATTTCAGTGCTTTCCCCTTCTTTACAGCTAGCAGGATGGCGGAGATGACCACTGCCCCCAGTGAGACGCACACCTTTGCAAACGAGCATGGGGACTACCACAACTGGACAGAGCTGTTCCAGCTCCTCAACTACACCTTCACCTTCTGTGAGTTCAGCCTGGATGAGAATGTCAAGCGGGTCGTCCTCTTCATCCTTTACCTGGTCATCTTCGTGGTGGGCTTGGTGGAGAACCTCCTCGTCATCTGGGTCAACTGGCAGACCCGGGGCAACAAGAGCCTGGTGAACCTCTACATCATCAACATGGCCATCGCCGACCTCGGGGTGCTGCTCTCGCTGCCCATCTGGATGCTGGAGGTGATGCTGGATTACACTTGGCTCTGGGGCAGCTTCCTCTGCCGCTTCACGCACTACTTCTATTTCGCCAACATGTACGCCAGCATCTTCTTCCTCACCTGCCTGAGCGTCGATCGCTACGTGTCCTTGACAACCTCCTCCAGCTTCTGGCGGAAGCACCAGCACCGCGCGCGCCGCATCATCTGCGGCTGCAGCTGGGTCCTGGCAGCAACAATCCCCTTCCTGGAGGTTGCTCACATGCAGCTGGTCAACACCGGAGAGCCCATCTGCATCTTCCTGGCCCCCTTTGAGACCTATGACGACTGGGCCCTGGCTGTCAGTTTAGCCACCACCACCATCGGCTTCCTCATCCCTTTCCCCATCATCACGGTTTTCAACATCCTCACGGCCAGGTACATCAAGCGCGCCAAGCCGGAGAGTGGGAAGCACTGCCTGCTCATCTACGCCTACATCGCTGTGTTCCTGCTCAGCTGGCTGCCCTTCCACGTCGTGCTCACGCTGCTCACCCTCGACGGCAGCCACATCATCCTGCACTGCAGCTTTGCCCATTTCCTCTACTTCTTCTACGACATCATCGACTGCTTCACCCTGCTCCACTGCGTCGTCAACCCCATCCTCTACAACTTCCTCAGCAAAAGCTTCCGCAGCAAGCTCATCTCTGCCGTGGTTAGATACATCCCCAAGGAGCACGCGGGCCGCCGGGGCGCCAACAGCTCCTCCTCGAGCACACAGCACTCCATAGTCATCGCCAAGGACGGCGCCGCGGGGCCCGGCGAGCGCCCGGCTCCCAGCGCACCGTGAGCCCCGCGGGATTCCCTGCTTGCCGAGACGCAGGGACTTTGCTCTTCACCGGCGCTTCTCGGCTGGGCGCCTGCGGCGGTGTCCAGGCAGGGGGAGACCCACCGTGCCGCCGTGCGGGCGGCTGCGGTGTTTTGTCTCTGACGTGCTGCTCTATCAGCTCTATTTAGCCAAAGAAACACTGAGAGAAAGAGAGATTTCCTGTGTTTCGAAGGAGATGTTTGGAGTAATAAAGCATATTCCTCTGTGTGCTCTGCAGCCTGAATGCAAAGCCGCCCCGGGTGCCGGCCCCTGCTCTCCTTCGCTGCCCCGCACGATGAGACGGCGCCTTCGCTCCCCATGACCCCCGGCTTGCACACGTGTGTGTTAACGTGCACAGAGCTCTGCGTGGATCCACGCGTTAACATGTGCAGAACTCCGCACGGAGCCACATGTTAACACGCGCATTGCTCTGCAGAGATCCACATGGATCCGTGGATTAACATGTGCAGAGCTCAACACAGATCCATGGGTTAACATGCAGAGAGCTCTGCACGGATCCGCATGGATCTGCATGTTAACATGCGTAGAGTTCCACACGGGTTCGTGTGTTAGCAAGCGGAGAGCTCATAGAATCATAGAATGGGTAAGGTTGGAAGGGACCTCTGGAGGTCACCTAGTCCAACCCCTGCACACGCAGGGTCACCTGGAGCACGTGGCACAGGGCTGCGTCCAAGCGGGTTTGAAGATCTCCAGAGAAGGAGACTCCACAACCTCAAAGCTCTGCACCGATCTGCATGGATCCATGCATTAACACACACACACGACTCTGCATGGATCTGCGCATTAACATGTGCAGAGCTCCACATGGATCTGTGCGTTAATGCGCGCAGAGCTCCACACGGATCCGCGCATTAGCATGTGCAGAGCTCTGCATGGATTCGCATGGATCCATGCATTAACACACACAGAGCTCTGCACAGATCCGCACATTAGTGTGTGCAGAGCTCCACAGGGATCCACATGTTAACACGTGAACGAAAACCGACCTCGGTGCACGAGCACCAAGTCTTGGCGCCGGGACAGCCGCGCTGTTCTGTTGTGTAAGAAACCGGAGCAGCCGGAGAAAGTTCGTCCTTCCCCGGATTCTGCTGAGCCACATGCGGCAGGTCGGGACCTCGGCAGGGGAGGTGACAGAGCGGCAGGCGCCGGCAGTCAATAAATCTGCCAAAGGCCTTGAGCTGCTCAAGAAACACATTTTTAAAGAGCGTAAACAAGCGGGGCAGGAGCTGGGGACAGGATCTGGGGACAGGATCTGGGGACAGGATGCTGGCACCGCGGGAGCGGGCGGGGGGCAGGATGTCCCGAGCTGCTGCCGCATCCAGGGGTTAACAGAGCCGCAATTCCCATGGGAAGGGCAGGGGGCGGCTCCGCCGTGTCCGACACCCCCAACCCACAGCGGCTCCCGCAGCTCAGAGGGCCCTTCCCGTCAGCAAAGGTCAAGGCGCTGCTGCTCTTCCATCCGCGGAGGCAGTTGGAGCCAAACATGCAGTAAAAATGTATTTGAGATGGGCGGAACAGGGGGCACCCATTTCAAGTTAAGCATTTAAAACTTGCCATTTAACAACAACAACAACAACAACTTCTTCTTCTTAGTATTATTATTATTTTATTATTACTATTATTGTGGAATGTCCTTCTCTGGAGATCTTCCAAACCCGCCTGGATGCCACCCTGTGCCCCTGCTTTGGGTGTCCCTGCCGGAGCAGAGGGCTGGACTAGATGATCTCTGGAGGTCCCTTCCAACCTCAACCATCCTGTGATTCTGTGATTACTAACATTATTATTATCATTATCATTATTATTATCATTAGTATTATTATTATTTTAACCCTGCTGTTGCATCTGCAGCTCCCCGCACCATAATTCGTAGACCCCAAGGCCAGAGCGGCTGCAGATCACCCTGTCCCGCTGTGTAACTGCACCTCGTGCCTCCACACGGAGCTGGCACGGGATCCTCGGAGCCTTTTCACTCCTCCCCTTGCTGCTTCCGGCACCTCACGCCGTT